TTCACCTATCTCTAACCCAAAAAAAGCAATTACCTATTTGGAAATGCTAAAGTAAGGAAGGGACACATATACAAAACACAGCATTTGAAAGGAAATTCATCTGAAAGGCTGTCTTTGAAATATGCAGAATGAATTTCTACTGATGGAATCTCTCTTTCTGCCTCTCTCTCACTTTGCGTATTAAAGGAAAGCTATAAATCTTTCACTTTCTCACACTGTACCTTTCCCCTGGTGCCTTGGGAAGCAAAGTGATAAAAGTATACAATGCAAGTGTAAGCAGGTTGTTCCCGCCAACTAGCTCTTTAAAGAGAATTTATTTATTGATAAAGCATCTGGAAAATATTAAAAGGTTATGATGTCAATAAAATACATATGCAAGAAAAAGCTGGAAGCGACAAGAATTAAAAAGACATGATTGCTCAGCAAGCAGAATGCAGCTATTTATCATGGCCATCTTTTGGCATAAGGTATTTTGTCCTTTCAGGGAAAGATGTTTGAGAATGCGGGAGAGAGAAAGAGCACTTTATTTCTGGCCAGAGGAATATTTCCTTAAAGAAATGGGTAAAGTACACATATGTGAGTCCCAAGAGAACTGGGGAACAAAATAATACAATTATATTACAGGAACACCATCTGGGATAGTAGTTGTGGACCATGGATCCCTTTGAGAATCTGATGAAAGATATGGATCACCATTCCAGAAAAAAATGATTTCAACACAATTAAAAAATAATATGTATTCCAACCATGGACCTTTTATGGTCCTAACATCAGGGGTTAATAATCTCTAATCTAAGGATATACAGTACATGGTCATTTGGGAGGCTGATCGAGGTATAGGGTGGCATCCTGTGCTCAATTGAGTAACACTCCCCCTGAGGACACAGGTCCGCAGTTTGGGGGGTCCTCCTGAACTCAGCACTGCCCCTGGATGCTCAGAGGTTGGCGGTGTCCAGGAGGGCCTTCACATAATTAAAGCTTGTGCACCAACTATGCCCATTCCTTGAAAAGAATGACAACAAAAACAACTTTATTTTTATATCCCGCTACCATATCCCTAAAGGGACTTGATCTGGCCATGGTGGTCCTTGCCCTAGTTATAACTTGGATGGATTACTGCAATGCACTCTATGTGGTGCTGCCTATGAAGGCAGCTTGGAAACTACAGTTAGTATAAAGGTCAGCAGCCAGGCTACTGACTGCAGCAAATTATAAGGCACATAGCACCAGCCCCTATTAAAACACCTTCATTGACTGCCTATGTGCTTCTGGCCCCAATTCAAAATGCAGGTTATTACCTATAACAGTTATGTTCTCCGACTTGATATCATTGGAGTCAAAGCATTTTGTGCCCTTCCACCGGAAGATAGTAAACAAAAAAGTATTTTTGTGGCAGAAAGGGCTTCCGTATGGAATTACAATGTAAAAACATCCTCAGTCATGTCGTCTGGTTATATCATTAAGCCCAGTCAGCTGGGACACAACTAAATGTCAAAACCATATCTAGAAATGTATATTCATTTGTGAGGTAGTGCAGTTAGGTGGTGTGAGTAGGACATATTCTGGGACACTAGGGGCTCTTCTACACTGTCATACAAAATCCAGATTATCTGCTTTGAACTTGATTATATGGAATTTGTCACTGTTGAACTTCATTTTGTTAGTTTTGACAGATTAGAGAGATGGGCCAAAACTAACAAAATGAAGTTCAACAGTGACAAATGCAAGATACTCCACTTTGGCAGGAAAAACGAAATGCAAAGATACAGAATGGGGATGCCTGGCTCGAGAGCAGTACGTGTGAAAAAGATCTTGGAGTCCTCGTGGACAACAAGTTAAACGTGAGCCAACAATGTGATGTGGCAGCAAAAAAAGCCAATGGGATTTTGGCCTGCATCAATAGGAGCATAGTGTCTAGATCTAGGGAAGTAATGCTACCCCTCTATTCCGCTTTGGTTAGACCACACCTGGAATATTGTGTCCAATTCTGGGCACCACAATTCAAGAGAGATATCGACAAGCTGGAATGTGTCCAGAGGAGGGCGACTAAAATGATCAAGGGTCTGGAGAACAAGCCCTATGAGGAGCGGCTTAAGGAGCTGGGCATGTTTAGCCTGAAGAAGAGAAGGATGAGAGGAGATGTGATAGCCATGTATAAATATGTGAGAGGAAGCCACAGGGAGGAGGGAGCAAGCTTGTTTTCTGCTTCCTTGGAGACTAGGACGCGGAACAATGGCTTCAAACTACAAGAGAGGAGATTCCATCTGAACATTAGGAAGAACTTTCTGACTGTGAGAGCCGTTCAGCAGTGGAACTCTCTGCCCCGGAGTGTGGTGGAGGCTCCTTCTTTGGCCTTTTGTCTGCCAACCCACGAAGTAAAACGCAAGAATAAAAACACAACAACAATAATTGGATTCAAATTGGGCAACTTTTATTTAACGTTACCTATTTAAGTTCTTAACCTAACTCAAGGGTGTAAGGAACTGGTGTAACCTAACCCAGGTAGTATCACTACCCGATAACAACAATTTCCGGGCGAAGCACCTGGGTTTCGGTAAACAAACCGTATTACCCACGAGGGAAAGGAATAAGGAGTCTCTTTCAGAGCTCTTGTATCGAGACTCCTTCCAATTAAAGGCCATTAACCTACCCCTCACCCAAACTGTATAGGTGAGTGTATTAACTTACCGGCCTTTCACCCCTTAAAGGGGTGCCCTAGGTGCACACCGACTAAAGGAATTACCCTATCTATTTACGCCTGGCCTATTTAAAGCATAGCCCACATCCTCCATCTAGCCCCTAAACAGTATAGGGTAGGCAAAAAACCTCCCCTATGAAACAAGAAGAGGAAAAAATTCCTACCCGGCTCCGCAGGCAACCGCAAAATATACTGTTAATGGGCGGGAGTGGTGGGCAACTTCCAGGCGCGGAATGAGCCTGGGAGGGGGCCTGGCCTGTATTCTCAGGCCACGCCCCCGGCGTTCTGGAGAGTTCTTCCAGAACTCCTCCCTGCCTCGTGGGAGGCAGACAAATGCTGTTTCCTCTCCCCACTTCATGGGGAGATGAAATCTATTGTCTGCCAACCCACGAAGTAAAACGCAAGAATAAAAACACAACAACAATAATTGGATTCAAATTGGGCAACTTTTATTTAACGTTACCTATTTAAGTTCTTAACCTAACTCAAGGGTGTAAGGAACTGGTGTAACCTAACCCAGGTAGTATCACTACCCGATAACAACAATTTCCGGGCGAAGCACCTGGGTTTCGGTAAACAAACCGTATTACCCACGAGGGAAAGGAATAAGGAGTCTCTTTCAGAGCTCTTGTATCGAGACTCCTTCCAATTAAAGGCCATTAACCTACCCCTCACCCAAACTGTATAGGTGAGTGTATTAACTTACCGGCCTTTCACCCCTTAAAGGGGTGCCCTAGGTGCACACCGACTAAAGGAATTACCCTATCTATTACGCCACGGATTGGGGGCAAATGTCTATTTCGCCCCCATCCCCCACCAATTCCTCAAGCACCCCTCTAATACCATCCTGTAAATTCAACAAAAAACGTTGGTTGCCCAGCTCTGAAAGATGTATCCCATCACCCCTATATAACTCTTCCTCGAAACGTGTGATGTTTGGGTGTTCAATGAAATGACCTCTCTGACAGATCATGAACAGACGCATGGCCCGGTTGACTCGTTTCCTGGCTTTTTCAAGCCTCCCCACGTCGCCTCCACCTAACCACCTGCGACGAGGTATAATAGCGGACCAAACGACGTGCACCCGGGGCCATGTCCACCAAATCTTTCTAATGTCAGCCCGAGCCTGTAAAAAGAGGGCTTTGCCTGTTAACAGGCCCAAATCGTTACCACCAAGGTGGATAACTAAAACATCAGGAGGCAAAACACTCCCGGCACTAAACAACAATGGGCACAAACCGTCCCAACGTAGGCCTCTCTTGCCTCTCCATTCCACCGCCGCCGTGGAAGCGAGACCCAAATGCTGGCCATAGGCAGTCCTGTGGGCCTCTCTCCCTGCCCAGAAGACATAACTGTGTCCGCATATCAGGACCCTTCTTCTATGTGCCAGCCCAGAAAGACCTGTAATGATAATAATACTAGGATGAAACTGACCGCACATAACTTCTGAACGCGCCCGACCTCCATCTACCTATTGATTTGATCTCATCAATTCCGTAGCCCATTGATGCTGCCGCCGTGGCAGCGCCAATCCTAAAGGAATGGGTCCCAAATTTAAGATGTCCCAATCCCAGGAGGTCCAACGCCTTGGCTGTAATGGCCCAGAACTGATACTTGGTCAGCGGTTTACCATCCTGATGGCGGAACAAATAACCTTCCTCACTGCCCCTGAGTGCCGCAAATCGCATCATGGCCACCACAGGGCATAAGTCTTCTTCTCCGCATCTTTGCAACTTAATCACATGACCCTTTGCCCCCTGGTCAGTCTTGGAGGTTCTAATCCTAACCTCTATCCTCTCCTGGAAAATGGAAACATCGGAAACCAGAAGCGCACGGCGTGAGGTATCGCTCTTGGATAATGCCACCAATTCACTCACCCGCATGGCTGCAAAAAATGCAGTCAGCGCTGCTGCATGATATAAAACCTGCTCATAATAAGAAGCACACAAATTGGGCCACAACTGTTTTATTCCCCTAAGAATCGAAGGCGTCATTGGCTCCCGGACATCCCTAAGATGCCCGCGCTGCCTGGACCAACCCGCCAAAATTTTATGCAATCTAAAGTCGTCAGTGATATCAGTAAGGCCTTGGGCCTTAAACCAAAATGCTAGTGCTGATAACTTTGATCTAATAGACTGGGGTGCCAATCCTCTCCTCCTATGGTATACACAAAACTGCGCCACGTGCTCGTAAGGCACTGGCACTGTCTCAGGCAAGCCATAGAGCTGTCTAAACTGCAAGAATTCCTGAACTGCCCTGTTATAGGATTTCCTCGAGCTAGGGGCTAACGCCAAACGCATACCTAATGCTGTCTCGTCTCTCCAACCCTCCAGAGATGGTCCGGCATGGTCTCCGCACAGACGTCCGCGTCGGGTGCCAACAGCCTGAAGCGCTCCATCTGAATACGAGACAGAGCGTCAGCCAAATCATTATTGATACCCGCAACGTGGAAAGCCCTAAACAATATGTTAAATTTGAGACAATGTAAAACAAACTGGCGGACAGCCCCCATAACTCTGCGAGATTTAGATGTGAGAGTATTAATGACCTGGACCGTGGCCATATTATCGCACCAAAAATGGACCGTCGCATTGGTAAAGCTATCCGCCCAAAGCGTAACCGCTACCAAAATAGGAAAAAATTCCAAAAAGGTTAAGTCTGACGTTATYCTCAACGCATGCCAATGGTCAGGCCATCTTTCTGCGCACCAATGCCCCTCAAAATAGACTCCGAAGCCCACTGCCCCAGATGCGTCCGAAGCCACTTGCAAAGCATTCTTAACCATCAATTCCTGACGCCAAAATGAAATCCCATTAAATTGGCCCAGAAACTGCTGCCAAATGGACAGATCAGCCTTTATCTCTCGCGTTATTCTAAYATGATGATGGGGCAACAACACGCCAGAGATAGCGTCGCACAATCTGCGCAAGAAGGCGCGCCCGGGCGCGATGACCTTACATGCGAAATTCAAATGACCGATTATTTGCTGAAATTCCTTCAAAGTGGCTTTATGTCGCCTCACAAATAGCTCTAACTTGACTAACAATCCCTCAACCTTTTCTTTGGGTAACTTMGAAAACTGATTGACTGTGTCCAACTCAATCCCCAGGAATGTCAACACCGTGAGGGGGCCCTCAGTCTTTTCYTCTGCTAAAGGCACCCCAAGCTCAACCRCCAATTGTTGAAAAGCACGCAACAAGGCACCGCAGTCCCCTGACCCGCCTTGACCTACGAAMAGAAAGTCGTCGAGATAATGCACGACGCCCTGAAATCCGGACTTTTTCTTCACAGCCCACTCTAGAAAGGTACTGAAAGCCTCAAAGGTAGCGCAGGACACCGCGCACCCCATGGGCAAAGCCCGGTCTAAGTAAAAGAATCCCTGAAACTGGAAACCTAATAACTCAAAATCGGCCGGATGGACCGGGAGCAACCTAAACGCCGATTTAATATCGCATTTCGCTAACTCTGCCCCCGGTCCATACCGCCGCACCAACCRGACAGCCGCATCAAAAGACGTATAACTCACCGAACATTGCTCATCGGGAATGGCGTCATTCACCGATCCTCCTCTCGGGTAGGATAAATGATGAATGAGGCGATATTCACCAACGGCCTTCTTGGGAACTATACCCAGAGGTGAAACCCTAAACTGAGACGTGGGGGGTGCCGAAAATGGACCCAAAACCCTGCCTTCTTTAACTTCCTTATCTATCTTACTCTTAACTATAGCCTCTARACCMACAACTGATTTCAAATTAGGCGCAAAAAACGGGGCGCGAGGCCCAAAAGCCRGGATCCGAAAGCCTTCGCTAAAACCGCGGCGCAAGTAATCAGCCGCAGCTTTGTCTGGGTATTTCTCTAACCAGCACTTAAGTGGACCCACCCTGATTGGGCTGGGGCCCTTTTGGAACACCACCCTGCCCAGAGTTCCTTTTAATAAACTGCCCGCCCCTCGTCCCGGTTCGAGCGGGCTTTCCCTTGAAACAACTCTTGGTGGCGTGATTTCCCTGGCATATYGCACAGGCGTGCTGATATTTACAATCCTTACGGGCACAAACTCCCTGGGCCGCGTATYCCCAGCACATACCCTTTTGCTTCTGYRGCTGTTGTGCTGGGYTGCCCTGSYGAAAGGGCTGGTTCCCYTTGGCGTTCTGTATCGTGTGGCCGCTATCGGCCTTCTCACCAGAGACTGCCCTGGTGGTATTCATCACYTCCATCCATAACTGACTGTCAATGAGATCCCATCTTTTGTCAGGCTTTGTGGCGGCCTCAGAGCGAAAACGTCTATCATAAACCAGCCAGGCCTGGCCCATATAGTTGACGTAAGCCCCGTATATAATATTCTGATATTTAAATAAMGCCTTGGCCCTGTAAGGATGGGCCTCAACCAACAGGGATGCATATATGGTATAGCATGCAATCCAGTTTTTCCAATTATGTTCCACCCTCCTATGCTTTAGCTTTTCTTTTCGCTCCTCATCTAACTCTTCCTTTTCCTTTTTATCCAATTCCCTAAAATAYAATGAAAAAATATCAATATACTCATTTCTGAGTATCTTGTCAATTGTCTTCTGCGACAAGTGAGATCCCAATGACGCAGAAGCCGCGGTAGCAACWACTGGCAGAACCCACTTATCTGTTCCCCAATACTGGTTGTCCTGTCCCGTCCTAGCCATTTCTAATGTTATCGGTGATCCCACAACCGCTTGMGGACTCRCTTTGGTGACTAAATCACCTCCCGAACCATGTGCCATGTTTTGGACAGTAGGTGTAGTGTTTTGTGCTTGGCTCAGGCCCCAAGGCCAGACAAGTGTGGTGCCATTACCTGCGGAAGTTGACGGACCTTCAACACCGACGCTCTGCATCAATGGCTGCACCACTGGCACCGGCTCCGCTGCAATCGGAATCGCCAGCGGAGATGACCCATCCRGATCAGCCCRCGCAGCAGCAGCTGGCGCTGCTTTTGCTGCAGAAGGTGAGTTGACMGGYGTTGCTGGCGCTGATTTTTCTCCCGCGACCTGTTCCACGGCGTTTTGCACTTGACCAACCTCATCGACCGAAGGAACCTCAGCACTCTGATTGGACCCCACTTGGCTGGGCTGCTCACCATCTCTCCCCACTGCCGATCGGCTGGCCTCTAAAACAGACATACGTGAGAGTAAGCTTTTAAATATTTGCTTTCTACTAGCATGACGCGCAGGTCGCAAACCMRCCTCCCTCACTGCTAGCCCTCTCTCCCTTTCATATCTATCCATCCTGGCCAACAACTCATTCAACTCCTCTGCAGAAACATCCTCMTCCTCAGATGATGATCCCTTGGGAGGGAGGGGACGCTTCGCCGGCGTCTTCTTGGCAGGCCCTTTCCCTTTTGGGCCGCCCACGTTCTTCATTGGCACCATTCTGTAAAAAGAATTAACAGCGACTACGTCAATGCCTGAACAACGTCTCAAACAACTYAACGATATCTTAATTAAACAGGAGGGGGGGWGGKKGMGGTTGTGGGGGGGGAGGGAGCGTAGCTGATTTTTACCTATCCTTTCCTAATGCCACAACCCCCACTCTACCTATGAAGATATTAAATATATGTACACGCATACTGTATAAATACATATACATCCAAACACATATCCATAAACATAATGTAAAATAAGTGACCAAAGCCGATCACTATAACCCCTGAATGTCAGCCCAGCTGCCAGGCCCCTATCGATCAGCCAGCCGTAAAGCTAA